CTACCCCCCCATGTGTGTTATAGGTGTGCATCCCCAGTAATGCCTCTCACATCCTGCTCTGCCCCCGCCCCCCCATTCGGTCAGCGCATCTATTGAAGGGCCTGTTTTAGATCCGCAGAACGCAGACGAGAACTGAGGACGGCACCAGGTGTATTGTGAGGCCCCCAGAGTGGTACTATTGTTGTGTTGTGCTAAAACTCGATGCACATTGGTTACGTAACGTCAATTAGCAGAAACGTTTCCGCTACTGCTCTTTGACTATGTCTATAATAACGAATCCGCGACGGATCTCGAAACCTCTGACGAGTAAAAGTATTGTCCCAGCGATCGAGTCGTCTTCTTCTTCTTAACGTCAATAATTTAAATGAACAAATCAGACGACGACTTGACAATATCCGCTTCATAATCTACGACTGAATTTTCGGCTAAACTTTTGTAAGTACTTAATGAGATTATCTGGGCAGGGGCCCTTCACGAGGTTTTGCATCTGTTCAGTGAACTGCAATATTAATATGTATAGACTATGGCCCCAGTCGTGAACCCCCTAATGAGGTCCTCAGTAAACACCTTTCAAACATTTCGTGTGGTCAAAAAGTGGAAGCAAATATAGGTTTTTTCAAAGTAGCATTCTTTGAAGTGGTTTGCCTTTTACCATCGATTTGCACGAATTTGAGTTCTAGTTCTGGAGATTTAAAATCGAATTTTATACCTTTTCAAAGAATCAGGCAATTGTGCATACATTTTTGAAGTGATTGTGATTTCGGAAAGAGCATGATGACATTAGGCTATCGAAAACAGTTTGGACAGGTGCTTTAACAGTTAAAAAGATGTAGGGATCAAGAAATGCACGGATCCCGGAGCTATCGTGTCTGTCTGATAAGTTGCAGGCTCGATACGCTACCAGCTTAAGTAGTTTACTGAATGTTAATGAACATAATTTGATGGCCGTTTATAAGACAGATCTATCAGACGTCAAGCGGAAAAGCCTTTGCCGAGACATATGCTTTTTTCTTACCCTTTACCTGTGGGGATACGCTCAAAGACATTTGTGAAACATGATTTCAATGTACAGTATTCGCCACAGACCATGCAGTTTTCATAACTTTGTATAAGGTTGATCATTACTCGAATACCAATGTGAATGC